GTAAATGCTAGGGCATTCACAAAGGAACAGGATATTTCTAGAAAGGGGTGGTGTGATACTACTTGAACAACATTCTAAAAAACAAGGTATGCAGTAAAAGTTCACATCATTACTTACAAATTTATGATGCTCATATTAAGGAAATTATAAGTGAGAAGGATTTGGTGGCTTATGTAAATGAGAAATGTTTTTAATAATGGTTAAGAAATATTTATTAGTTCAATCAAATTAGCAAAAATATTGAGCTTCAATGAAAAAGGCTTTCTCTAAACAGATAAATATCAACATTAAGTTCTTAATACATAACAAATGCCAATATTACAAGATTGTGACATTAATCAATAAAATCTAGGATACTGAGGTTTAATCAAAGGAAACCAAAAGAACATCAAAGAAGCTACAACTAAGGCTACAAAGGAGAATGACTCTCTTAGTCCAAAACACTAAATTTAACTTGAAAGAGCTTTGTGCTTACATAAGCTACATCAAAAGGGTCAAGGAGACAATAATTATGTAAGAGGCATAAAAAACAATGTTCAATTTGTTTGGGAAGGAAAGTCTAGGAATTGTTGAAATCAAAGCCACATATTTGTAAAATGCAATGTCTTTTACAAGTCTATCAAAGTGGTTCTATTTACTAGATTTTGTAATAATAGTAAAAAAAGGAATTACAATATAATTCCTACAGTACTTACTTCTATTGATCACTGTAGCCTACACTTCCCTGCCAAATATTTGTTTATAACATTTGAGCATGAGACATGGCTTACCAGCAAGAAAGAACTGTGTGAACCAAGTTAATATTGTTAGAGTACATACAAGACATTGTTGCATAGTGAATAACTTTGAGAGAAGATGAATAATATCATTCCACTGGAAGTATGAAAAGTCAATATATGAAATAATAACAATGCTTGGTCACATGTAATCCACTGTATGTGAAGTTATTCAATGGAAGCCGATACTATTTTAGAAATTCTCACACTGGCCTAAAGTACCATAGTGGGAGTATGACCAATGTTCACTCATTATGACTATAATAATTTGGTAGAACTATTTTTACAACAAATTCACAGAGGTTTTACTGCATGTGTAAAAACATGATCAGGCACCATTTTGTTTTTGCAGTATGCTCTTCATGACTGAATACATATACATCAGATCTAAAAATTGTACCACTTTTCATTTGTTTTAGTTAGCACTAGAACCTATGATAATTGGTTGTGAATTCTCTGTGAAATGATGGTGCAAGATGGAAGTGCTGTTTCCACAATTAAGCAGTGCATGACTGATGGTCAACAGTGGCAGTAGTAATTGGAGAACAAATGTATTATTAACAAACAAAGAGGACATAGTAAATTTTTACTGTCCTTAATACTGTGGTAAGGCATTGATATACAACTATCAAATTATAACCAAGAAATTGGTGCTAAATAAAATGAATTTCTTTATTCAAATGGCTAAAGGCTGCAATAAATGTTAATGAGCATGAAAAAAAACCCGAAAATAATCATCAATTTATCATCACTGGAATACAAAATAATAAAAAAAAAACATCATCAACTATGAAAAAATTAACAATGTAGCAACCTACCTCTAAAAAAACACATGTAAAAGCTTGAATGGTAAACCTTGGGTTGAGGGAAGCAAGTAAGTAGTTTAATTGTAATATGTTGTATAAGAGTAAAGGATGTGGTGAGAGTGTTAAGGTGTGAATTGTCATCTACACATTGGTCCAAGTTGCTCATATAAATGCCCACAGATATCAAGAAAGTATTAAATAAATAAAAGTTGGTCAACAGAAGTGTGTGTAAGTTAACTAATTATTATAAGGATAATAAAAAAGCTAATTACTATAAGGATAATAAAAAATTCAATCCTTACTTGGAGTATTAAAATTCATGTTTAATTTTTCAATCTTCCCAAAGGCTTTTTCCAACAATCTCCTATTTCTTTTATTTTGAGGGCAGAAAAGAAAACTTTCATTAATGACGTTATTTTCAGGGAAAAGGGTCAGTGGATCTTTGGAAACAAAAATAGTAGCATTATTTCTTATTGAAACTTTCATTTCTGATTCTGGTGTACCATGGGTCTTGAGGTAGGCAAGAAGTGCTGCTAGCAAGAGAGGAATTATTATCTCAAATCCTGTGATAACGTAGTGGCGTCGGCGAAGCAACAGACCTTTCCATATAAGAACCCAAAACTGTTGTACGACTCCCATGTTTCCAGATGAGTAGTTCTGGTGATGAATTCTACATTATGATATTACTATGGAAAGAAAGAGAAAATGTTGTGATACATTAACATAATAACTTTAAACAATCTGAATAAACTTATTGGTTATGTAAACAAATTCTTTTTGTTTTATGGGAATACATTACTAATGTAGTTGCTTAATATTCCTAGGCAGGCTATCAGTAGCGTAACAAAAATCAATTATCTTAAATACTGCTGTGAATATTGAAAGTATTAGTTTCAAATTACTTTTTAATAAGATGTAAATATACATATGGTCTTTTGTTACTATAGAAAGTTGTAGAAAATCTTAAATTTTAAAAAACAAAATTTTCTTCTCAAAAGGTTTTTACTTAGTTTTTTGAATTATATAAAATCAAAATAATAACAAAATTTAAAATCTGTAAAACCTAACTTAGGTCTTACAGGATATCTGTATTGTAGCTCAAATCATCCTGTTTGTGAGAATGCTTTATGGCTATCATTTGGGGTGAAAAACAAAATATTTTAAAGTTCTAGTAATATAATTGGTTAGCTATAAGGATATGATGAACTGTGAATAGCTTTCACACTTTTGAATTGTTTTGGTTTTCAACTGTGAAAAAGTCAGGATTGATGTTCTATGAAGTCTTTAACTTAGCCTTCTTCTTCTTTGTTAAATTAACTTTTTAATTCCTAATCATAGTTGCTTTGATCAGTGCTCAAGTTTTCAGTTTGATACATAATTTTACAATTTAATTTGTTTAACAACAGCAATTCCTACACTCAGCATGAATGCACCATTTTTAACTGTACTTTTCTTCAATAACGTATTTGTCTTTTTATTTTTATCTTTACACCAAGTCTTGTATCTTTTACCTCCAAGGATAAAAAAAAAATTACTTTGCATTGACAAAAAGTTCATGATCCAAATGTTCTGAATTAGAAAACATTAAAAAATATGAGAAATACAAAAACCTATACCACACATTTGACCAGTTACAAACCCTACATTTGTCCTTCCACATGTTACACCTATATAATGTGTGCTTTGTTTATATTCTGAATACTACACATCACTTTAATCAATTGAGTGAAGTTTTTTTCTGTGAACAGACTATAATTATTGCATAAGAGGCTTGTGATTCCTGTAAAGTATTTCTTTCATGCTCTTAACAAAATATAACCTGAGAGATCTTTCTGTACTCTGGCAAAATATTCTTTCTTTTTCACATTATTCATTCTACTGCTAAAAAAAAAATATACTATAGGTCTTTTTCTACAGAGCCACACAAGTTTCTGAAAATTCTGAAATCAAGAATCTAGTGCACACACACATGAACATTTGAAAATGCAAATCTCTAAACCTCAAATCAAAGCTATATACAAAATATACATATCCATTTAATCCATAAATTCTTACTCACACACACTGAAGTTAATATATTTAAATTAATGCAACAATCTTACTACATTGCTTTGACCACAACAGGAGCACGGCAAAGTTTGATTGCCAACTCTAGGAAGAATATGTAACATAATAATAATAATAAAATGCTTTAAGCAGTTATATAATATATAATGGGTTCAGAATACACACACACACACACACTGACATAGTCATCTAGTAAATATCAACCTAATAACCCGGCTTCACTCTGGTTATTAGGTTGATATATTCTAGATGACTATGTCAGTGTATGTATTCTGAACCCATTTTAGCATGGAAAAGATAAGTAATATCCAGGTGCACACCTTCAGGGTTCACTTAGTATGGGTGTTAAGTTTTAGGTTTCTAGATTCTTTCCTCTTGGAGCTATGGCAGTCACACATACACAGACACGTACGTGCACATGTGCACACACATGCACATGCGTGTCTGTCTGTGATTTCTATTTGTAATATTAGGAACCACTTCTTTTATATGTGTTTTTTTGCAACCTTGTCTTATTAAAAGGATGCATACGCACGCCCCTGAAATTCTGCACACCCTCAGGGTCCACTTAGTATACATGCAAAATTTCAGGTTTCTAGGTTCTTTCCTCTTGGAGATATGGCAGTTACACATACAGACAAACCATTTTATTATTATAGATTACAATCATTTTAGCTTGTCACAGCACTAATGTATACCATGACTTTTTTATGCATTCATGTCCGGAGTATTCTTCATACGGTGCTGTAAAATCATAGTGTTAAAAACATAAAATATATGAACGAATGTAGATGAAGAGCATAGATGCAAAATCTGACAGATTCCATTCCCAATAAAACTGAGCTGCTATTGGCATTGTATTGATTGCATTCAATGTTAAATAAAAGCACAATCATCAAAGTTGTATTCTACTTAATTGTGTGTTTTATAGTGGGACAAGAAGGAAGGCAGGTAGATTTTTCTAGGCTTTTGTAGCTTGGATAAAAAGTTTGTTTGTTTTCTCCTCTGAATTCCACACCACTGAGACTATATGAGTCTAAAGATAAAAGTGGAAAGGACACCAAGAAAGGTTAACTGATTGCAGAACATTGAGACATCTTGGAAAAGTATGAACAATGAGCTACAAAGATCAACATCCAGTACCCCTGAGTCCCCATGCTGGATGTACCCCTTAAGTGCTGAGAGCAGATAGTTTCTGCTGATCTAATCCTACCCGCAACTAAGAAACAAAGTTACCAAAAACCTATACATATTATGTTCACTGAACCAATTAGGAATCCTCCCATAGGGAAAGCAGAAATTCTGACATCACATCATGCTTTAAACAGCTTTGAGAAATGACTTCTATCATGGCAGTGTTTTGTTCAGTAGCAATGCAAGGATTCTAGCTAATACCTAATGACAGCCCCATGCACAGTAATTTAAAATGAATGGCACTAACAACATTTAGTTGCCTTCCCACAACTGATAGAAAGTAGTGAGGCAAAGTTTCAAAGGAAGATCTAGATCACATCTTTAAGTGAGACTACCAAGTGGCCAGAATCGAGTAACATAGTACCTGGTGCTTATCTTGAATGCTTTAGCATTTGTCAAGAAATACTTCGAACTCAACCAAGTCTGGAACTGGGAATTAAGCCATAATAGCAGAGTAGCATCGTTGTTTCAACCAGGTTAAAAGCAAAATCATTTACCAGGCAGAATGCAAGATTCATAATTGTGACAGCTATGAAAATTTAGCTACATACACCAATGAGCTGTGATACTTACACAATAAAGTGTGTCCAAACATAATGGGCGATGAATGAGAGAATAATCTTGTCAAAGTATTTAGAGAGGTTTCTTACTCTGTCTAAGTGACAGTACACTTGGGTGTTAGAGACATGTTTCTAATTGAAACTGTGTTAGTAGTGATGATGTAAGAATAGGTAAATTTAACTAAGTTGCTAGAAAACCTACAATGATAACTTTATCAGAAAATCAGTGCAAAAAAAGACACCAGCCTGCAAGCACCGTATGGTAACTTGGATCAGCCTGAATGGTATTCAACTGAATGACAAGAGATAATTTGAACTTGCTTCTTCAGCTGTGTATGTAAAGAATTCAGATTGGGAGACGTCCATATTTACAATGGGAGTAAGATAAGAGAGGTACTTTCTGCAGCTGGGAACAGTTTGATCAATGGTGGCATAGGTACCCAGTCTTTGTGTCTGTGTAAAAGCTCATACATCAACCAAATGGTAGGCAACAAACTAAGGAGGAAACAACAGCTAAATTAAATTAGTGAGCACTGAATAAAATTTGGCCACTTACTTGGGAAAACATCAGGTCTATCGTTTCCCACAGGTATAGTATAATTCACTGTGTATAAAGCTAAGCATGGATTGGTATTTGACTGTGAAAAGACATGGATATTAGATAGCTCTTTAGTTGATAATGTAGCCATTTTGTGTTAGCCACTTGATTATAACAGCTAGAACAGCACATGATAATAGCTAAGAACCTAGAACATAGTATCTGGCATACTATTAACAGTAGGTAGGATACTTAGATCATTACCAACACACTAGAAAACATATTTGTGTTTTATTAATATTGCACTTGCGTGTTTGCTGTAATAAATATTATGACAAACTGGTTTTTTCTGATTTTACATTCAAATCACCTATTTTTCTTCTTAGGAGAAGAATGAGACACTAGATAGAAAGAACACTAGGGACTTATGTTCACATCTTCTGTGATAGTGTTGTGAATTAATAGTAATTTTCACTAGAAAAAAATTACAGAAATACATTATTTATCCTGAACAATAGAGGTATTGTTTTCTCTTCTTTGTGTGTGGGTATGAATATTATAACTTGAAAAGTTTATCTGATTTTGATCCAATTTTGTATGAAGATTGAGTGTCCTTAAGAGATAATATTGATTTACTTTTGGTGAATGATGTTCAAAGGTTAAGGTCATACTGAAGGTTTCACCTGATATTGATCAAATGTCGCAATAAGTTTGAGTGTACCACCAAGAACTAATTTATTAACTTTTGGTGAATGTAACACAAAAGTCAAAGTCACATTGAAGGCCAATCGCTTTTATTGTAATCATAGAAAATTGGGATTTTGAATAATGGTCAAAACTCTAGAAGATATTTAAATTACTGGGAAGGTTCTAGGCACAAATACCTACATTTCTGTGGGTAAGAAACTATTTGATATGCACTTAGGTTTGTTACTACAAAAGTCAAACATTTCAGAGTGGGGATTGAATATCCGAGTACCTTTCTCATTGTTCTAGTGTGTTGAATGGTTTATTTTGTCTAAGTAATTTTAGACTTACTCATATATGGGCCAAGTTAAACTCTGGCAATGAAAATGTGCATGCATCATTGTGACTGCTCTCTTCCAATGTGATTAAATCTTCTACTAAGCACAAACCACGTGAGTGTGTGTATTGTACGAATATGTACCTACACATTTTTCTGAATGGATAAATATTCGTAAAATAACTTAAATCAAAACCTTATAAGCTGATTAGATCTACTGATAACAGTCCGAGATATAATATAGTTGCGTCAGCGAGGTCACGTGACTAGTATCACGCCACTCTTTCTCT